TTTTCAGTTCAGTGACCTTGCATTTATAATTTGTGTGCAATAATTTCTCAGTCCGCAGAAGCACATCAGCCTTTCTCAGGTGAATTTCAGCCTCCCTGATGGCAGATGATCCCACCCAGTATTCCTGGTCAGAAAAAGACAAAATATTTGTTGGCAAAATATTTGTTCTCTCTCATTTAGATGCAGCAGAAGCAACAAGTACTTGAGTGCTTGCTCTGGCAGAATATTACTTCTAGCTTGGAGAAAGTCTACTATAATTGTCCTTTAATAAATTAGGTGTACAAAATGTGTGATGAATTTTAAATAGCATCATAATCTAAGACAGAAAAAAATATATCCCAGGAATTTTCATTAAAGAGTAGAAAGATGTGATTGTAGGACTGCAGTTAACTGAGTATTTGTTAGTGACTGAATAAAAAGCCTGATGTAAAACTAGTGTCAAGCATAGAGCTAGAAAATAAAGAGACAGGAAAAAGGAAGAAGACTGAACAGAGTAGAGCAGAAGAGGGCAAGACAGACTAAAGAAAGGCTAGAAAGGGAGACACACTGATTCGGTAAGTCCTGTCTGCATTTCCTATGCCAGAACAGGTAGGAAATAAAAGTCTGCTGCCGAACCTCATCTTTTAAGATGGGTATCGCTTTGGATACAAAACCATAGACAAGTTGGCAGATAAGTGTCTTTCAGCTGTTTTGTCTAAAATTTGTATTAAATGTTTTCTCTGCTCTTTGGTTTTGGGAATAGGATTGAATGTAAAGCCTAAGGATTGTGCTTTGTGGCAAGAATGGAGAAGTGTTGAGATTTCTGTGAGATGCAAACATCACCTCTGGGCAGTAGTCACTTCTTTCTGTGCTGAGGACTGAACCCAAAGAGTCACAGGGATCCCTCAGGGGAGGCCTCTCCTCTACTGGAGTGCCTCAGTCTCTTAGGAGAGAGAGAGAGACTGACATTAACAGATCAGGACAAATGTATAATAACAAAATAAAATAGGGAATGGGGCACAAGTTTAAATCGGTTAATTGTCTGTCTAAATAAGCATTAAGTATTTACTCACATGGAACTACTCATGAATATACAGATATACACAATACTTCTCATTTTCAGTTGAGAATTGCTAGTTATTTGAGTGTAGGGTGCCTTTTTCGTGTCTGTATCATTCTAATCTAAAAGTCTAGGCTTGTAATAACTCAAAACAAAACTTTAGAGAATTAGGAGTACCTATATACATACACCCAGTCAACCCCCGCACACCTCCATATACACACATGCACACATGCACAAATTGATTCAAGGGTTTGGCATTGCTGGTCTAAAATTCCATCCAAATAACTAGGAAAGTAAGCAAAATTGAAGTATAATTTACCCACCTGCATTATACTTGTGAAATGCTAACTATGCAAATTGCTTATATTACAAAGCTATAAATCTTATGCAGATTCTTGTTTGGTTACAAAAAAAAATAATAACTTTCAAACTCAACCAGTACTGTGTAAAGCTGCTCGATCTCCCCCGCTCTCAAAACCCCTGACCCATCAAAAATACCTTGCATTTTAATATGCTTGGATTCATGGATTCAAAACCAACAGATTCTAGAATAAGTAATCATGTACTGCAAAGCTGCATAAAACTTATTTTAATCTTAAATTGAAAGAAATAAAAAAGATAGATAGATAGATAGATAGATAGATAGATAGATGTAGGTGATAGAGAGACAGGGTACAGAATAAATACACTTAAACACTTATTTTCCTAGAATTTAATTTGTCCATTGTCTTCTGCCCTCATCAACACACATGTGCATGTGCACGAGCCCGCAAGCACACACACACACACACACACACACACATACATCCCCAGAAGTAAACCATTTCCTAAACCTGGTCTCTTTCTTTTCTTTGCTTCACGTCTTTACCACATATGTACATGTGTTTCTAGATAATGTTGCAATTTACTCTTTTGTTTTTATTTTTATGCAAATGGAATCCTCATGAACATATTTGTTGGGGATTTTCTTCTTTCACTGAGCACAGTGATTTCAAGCTGTGTCACTACTAAGGTGTATGACTCTGGTTCCATCCCTTCCAAGATGCAATCAGCTCTCCGGTGCATGCATGTAGCAGAATGTAATTATCCTTTCTCCTGCTGGGGGCTGTCTGGATTGCTTCCACCACTCACCTGTCAGAAACAACCAAGCCATAAACACTTTCCCTGCCATCTTCTGCCACCCTGGGTTCCTCTGGGTTCCTCTGGGGAATATATTTCTGAAAGGGATTTCAGAATCCCAGCAGTTTATGGTGTTTGTACAAATTTATATTCCTAGCAACAGTGCATGGGGTTTCTATTGTGAAATATTCTTCCCAAGACTCTGTATTATTGGCAAACTTTTCTAATTCTTGCTAGTCTGGTGGGTGTAACATAGTATCTCATTGTGATTTTAATTTGCATTTCCCTAGTTATGAATCACAGTGAATTTTTATGTTAAACCAAAAAATTTCCCTCCAAAACATTTGTTTCTAATAGGACAGCAGTAACTTGATGCTGCAGAATTATGTCTAAACTACTTCTTTTTATACTTAAAGAGAAAATGTGTCTCTCTCATTAGGTGGTCCAGGATGAGGAAAAAATGTTTTACTATTTTAAAACCAAGAAGATGTGAATAGCATTCTCATCACAAATAATAATACAGGGGGTGACGTCTACAACCTGAGCCCTAACTTGCTGCTTCCGTTTATTCAGATGGATCATCAAATATCTGTCAAAGTCTCCTTTGAAAAATAAGGAGGAAAGAAAAGTGAATAATTCCAATCCAGTGTGCATACATATGTGTGTATGCATGTGTGTGTGTCTGTCTGTCTTTTTTATAGTTTACTAAATAATTAAAATAACTTGTGGAGCTTACTTACAGATCTCCTGAATAAGATTTTGTCACTTCTTACTGTTGGAAAAATTATTTCTTATACTTCAAAAAATCATAGAAGGTGCTGGAATTTGTTTCACAGCATTTCTTATTTTGAATCTGACATTATGTCTATCAGTTCAATTTAACTAATATATTTTTTCAAGGTTTTGATTATCTTTTAACAAATTATGTATGCATGTTCTTTTTGTTTAGCTTAATTATCTGCTTCACTATGGCAACATTGCATGGAGAAGCTATTTCTATTATCCTTATTTACTATATTTCTTTTCTGTGTTGTCAGGATTTAGTTGATTTTAGATTTATTGTCCAATCACTTTACCCAGTGGTGCTACTTAAATAAAATTGCTTACTCTCTAGGTATCTGTATTGTTTTCTTTGTGTTTTTATAATATTTCTTTGTATTCTCTCGTATAGGTTGTCAATCTATTTTACTGCATATTTTGATACTATATGTATAAATTTTTTCAAGGAAAAAGTAGTGGTAGGTACATGCCAGCACACAGTTATTTTCTTAATATGTGCAATACATTTGATAACCAAACTCAACCACTCAGTAAATTTACTGATACTATGAGTATGTCCAAAGCACCAAAAGTGTGGAAAGGTTCTTTTGGGGGGGCTGGGACAAGAGTGCAATTTATAGAACTATGTGGTGAAAATAATAATGTTTCCCAGTCATTTCTATTTCAAGTGACATTTTCTCGCAAGTTGGACAAATACTCAAAATAGATTTCAACTTTGAACTTAGCAAATTCCATTTGTATGCCAGTGAAGCCTGAGGCTGAAAAGGGCATTTATTTTTTCAAAATAGCTTTTAGAAAATCAAGATTCTAAATATGTATAGTTTCTGTTAATGAACAAAAAAAATTCTCTCTTTCATTTGACCAGATCATGATCTTAATTATAGCATGTTAGTTTATAATGATTTATTAAAGTGTGTGAAGATGTAAATATTTACCAAGTAATTTAACAAGGTAATTAAAATGCTCTTTGGTTCTTAAATGATTATTATATTATTTCTTATTTATACATTCATTAAAACAACAATCCTTTTGGCTGTTCAAATAAGTAATCCTGTTGTCTTTGCAGAAGTCCTTGACAAAACTCAGATTACTATAAAGGACTACAGTAAATTAAAGCTCTATGAAGTTTAGGTCAATAAAATGCTTCTCAGATCACAGAATGAGTTAACTGGAATAACTAATTTGCAAAACACAAATCTGACATTTCTGAAATTCTCTAAGTCTATGTACTGTGAAAATGCACAGCAAGGTAAATCACACTGTAGCTGTTTCTTAATTTCCACATTAGTTTGAATCTGCAAAAATGTGTGCAAACACAGTCCTATCCATTCAGTCTTTGTTTAGCAGAGAGGATGCACCCTACTTGTCAGACAAGCTGGACCACATTTCCTACACCTCTGGCCTCTCTGGCTCCCTCTTTGGTGTCTCTGAGCATCTGTTCCCCACCTCTGTTCACACTTTGCAAGCCATGCCTGCTTCCCTTCTATTGCTCAAGTCGTCCTTTCCAGGAGAGCCTGGACACGGCATGGTGCCTTCCTCTCTCTCCAGGTCTTTGTTCAAACGCCATCTTCTCGGAGGAGCTTATTACACCACCTCCTTACCTTTCTCCCTGTACTCACTTAGTCTACTTGCTTGTTTTTCTTTGCAGCACTCATTACCAACGGGCTTCTATATATTTGTTTATTGTTTGTTTCCTCCTGACAACATGAGCCCCATGAGTTCAGGGACTGATGTGTCCCCAGTACTCAGACCGAGCCATGTCTCCATAGATTCTACATCTGCCTGTGATACCCTTGTAAGCAATAGACAAAAACTATCTCCACGCCTGTGCCCATGGGCATGCGCATTCTTAAGGCATAGGTGCCAGACTATCTTGATGGTGACCTAAATGTACTTGATTCATTGTCTCTTGGTTTCCAATTCAAATGCATCATTTAAAATACATGTTCATGATGTTAACGGAGAGCTATACTGGTGTATACCTTTAAGTTAAATTCTGTACAACTCCACTCTCCACTGAATCTTAACAAATTCACTGGAATGTTCTCTTGTCATCTAGGGCCCTACGATGCCACATCAACCACTTTTGCTGCCACCTGTCAAAATTCTGGACCGCCCCACTTTCAGGTATCGCATATCTTATGAAAGAGTATTCACAATCTAATGAAAGTATTATGCTGGATTTCCATGAAGTCAAGGATATTTAGAACACTTAAAAGAGAGAAAGAAAAATTTCCAAGAATGATATGTAGTTAACTTCCAAATGAAGGAAACCTTGAAGATCTATCCAACAAAATACTGGAATTATGGACATATGTTAGACTTTCAAAAATCATTTCCTTGGGAACTTGGGGTGTAGAATAAACTAACCCCCATGTTCTTCCTCCAGGTTTTTACTAGTAGTGCTAAATTATCTTGGGTGTATACTACCGAGTTTGATAACACTGCTAATGGAGCCGCATTGCCACAGACATCATGCATACCTATGTGACGTATAAACATGTACACATACAGTTATGTTTAGTGTTGTAGTTGTAGGTTGTTCATTGTACTAAATCCAGTCATTGTTCCACTCCTACAAATGGATATAAATTTTTCTCATAACTGGAACACAGGGTGATACCTCATTTTTAAATAGGGAAACAGGAAAACGGGAGGGTGAATTGTTTTAAAAATTTAAACTACTCTAGATACTATTTTTAGGACACCCTAGCTAAACAGTTTTAATTCCAATCATGGACCCATACAATGGAATTTAGGGGCTTTAGGGTTTCCAAAAAGTACTGTAGACAGATCTTTTTTCCTAGTTATATTTGGCACTGAGTGTCACGGTGAGTACAGTATTAGTGATGGAGTTTTATTATACCTCATAGCCCTCTTCCTTGCAAAATGAGAGTTCCTGCCTTAAGTTATTTTTAGACTTAAAAGTGCTCAACAATACAATGCTTATCTTCCTCACAAACTGCATCAATATAAATGAAAATAAAGCCTACTAAGACATTTATCTTAAATTCAAGACTCTGTGACACAATTTCTTACTCTGTACTTAAACTGTGATTTTTAAATTGCAATGTCTTGCTGCGAGACCCAAAAATAGGCACTCGGCGATTGTCCTTTGTCCCCCAGAAACGTCTCTGGAAACTCATCATTGTGTTCCTCCCCCATGTGTCAGCTTCCTTTGCACATTACATTTCACATGACTCACTGTCCCGCAGAGCAAGGTCTGAGCGCTCAGAATGCCTGTTTGCATCTGACAGCTGGATTTTTCTTCCTGAAGTTTTTTGTGTGTAATGTGGGGCCAGTCAACTCTTAGAAGGCCCTAAAGTTGCTTAGTGAAGATGCATGGGAAAGAGCAAATAATAGAGAAAAAATTCATGTACTGTGCACCTGTCACAGGGAAACCTTTTAGAGGACCTCCCAGGGATGAGCTGTAAGGTATTTGATGGTTTGAAAGAGATGACTTGGAAGTGACTTAGAACTGCAAGGTTCTAATTTGAACTGCTTTCTCCTGATTACCTCTGCTGAGATGAAACGTAATTGCTGCCTTTGTAATTGTTTTTTCAAATTATATTTCTAGCAGTTTTAAAGTGAAGCAAAGTTAAATTCTACAACGAAAGAGATTGGAAAAATCACCCCTTAGGAGATTAAAAAAATACCTGAAAAGTGAGATCAGCTTGTTATCTGTTAGTTTAAATCACATGTGATTTAGTCCTAATTTAACGGCAAGTACAAAATTGAGATTAAAAGAGGAATTTCTATTCTTAGCTGCTCTACCACTGATATGAAATTACTTCATAAGGTAATTCATTAAAACCTCCGTAAGTCCTTATTTCTAAGTCTGTAAAATGAACCAATTATACAACAGGTTTTCACAGGTCCTTTCCAGATTTTAGAGTCTGGAATGTCCGAGTATATCTGCTGTGAATTAAAGATTCCAGCTGCAAATATAAAACCATCTGAAAGGGCTGGGGATTTAGCTCAGTGGCATAAGTGCCTGCCTTGCAAGCAGGCGGTCGTGAGTTCGATCCCTGGTACCGATAAAAACCGAAAAAGACAAAAAAAAAAAAAAAAACCAAAACCATCTGAAGTTCTTTCTAATAAAAGACATGATTTGCAATAGTTTAATTGTTATAACTTTAAATATTTTTGCATCACTTTATGTAATCATCAAGCTAATTCTAAAATTAGATAGATGGGTAAGAAGAGGAAGACATTAAAAAAAGAAAAAAGAGGACTGTCTTTGGCTAGATTAAATTTTGACCTAAGAGGAATTTATTTCTATTTATCACTGAAATTTAGTAAACTTGCTGAATGTTCTTTCTGACTCCAAGACAGTAAAGATAAAACTTTCTAAGAAATTTCCAATTATGAAAAGGTTCATTTCTCATCTAAATCTTATTCCAATTTACATGGAAATCCAACATGCTTTTCCCCAAGACTAAGGACAGTTATAGACTTTACAAGGACATTAGAAGTCTCGTCCTTTCCATTAATGACTTGAAACTCAATTAAATATGTTTACTAAGTTATACTGACAAAATTATTTGGATTATTGGCTGCATTAATTTTGTTATTCATTAAGTTGAACTCGATAATTATGCCTTAGTTTGTATTATATTTCTAAAGTTGTTTCAGGACAAATAGCATCTTTCTGAATTTTAGTTTTGTATCTATGATTACAAATGTTTATTTAGAACTACTTTTATCTATGAAAGAACTATAAATTTTCTTCAAAAGACTTTGCATGGCAGAACAAGTACCAAGTCAGTCCTCGAAGGTTGGATAAGACTTATAATAGGCAGCGAAGCATATGAGTGTGTTCAGAATCAGGAGTGGATGGTTTAGTTAAAACACTGAGAAATAAATCAAGGTAAACATGAAAAAAGTGGGCAGAGTATTTGGTCTTATATAAACCTTTCCAAAGCTCTGAATTCAATTTGATAGTTGTAATTTTGGGCTGTTGTTCTCAAAGAGGAGTGGATTTCTTAGTGTCCGGTCCAAGACCACAGGGCATAACTCCCCAAATTGTCAGTAATTTGGCCACTGTAGTTTGCTGGCAAAGGGTCAGGGGATGCACCTGGGTATGCAGGGCCCTGACCAGCATGCCCTGGTTTGTGTCACCTCTCTCCTGTTACCCAAACTTCTGACCTACGTGTGCCATATGAACATAGTCCCCATTGGTCGGTGTCAATCTAGAAACAAAGCACAGCACTCTTTAAAATCTTTTAATGACATGGCATTTTCATCTCATTAAATGACACATTGCCAATAATAAATTTTACTTATGTTTAAAATAAATTATCTGTCAAACCAGTAAGGACATTATTACATTTTAGAGCCAAGCTGCCTGGTTTACTTTTAATTTGACAGGTTTTTAATTACTTACTTAAGGCAATAAATCCACCAACTCTGTTTTTTGGTAAGTAAACTTTGGTTAATCATAATACTTAGCTTATGTTTTTATAATGTAATCATGTTCCTGAAAAGCTAATCTTATTTTTTCATGCACCATATCAGTGAATCATTCATTGTGTGCCATTTACATTTCTAGTCTTGCTGGCTGCACTATACACAAATAGATGGAGTAGAGGTTCAAGTAATTAATCCTTAGATGGATACTAATAATTTAGTAAGCCTTCCTAAATCCATACTGTTTCAGCATTATTATTGTTTTCTCTAATAAAATTTGAAATGATAATAAATCTGGGAAGATCTTTATTAAGCATGCATCTCTGACCATTTAGACAGAAGAAAGTTTAAATGTTTATAGATATTTTTTTGTGAAGTTTTAAAACGGAGTAAAGATTTTTATAAGAATTAGGAGAAGCTTAGATAGCCACAATGTAAACAAAGGAAAATGTCTAGGTCACAATATCATTGTCTTTAAAATGTCACTTCTCAACTAGTGAGCTACATCTTTATCCTTCAGGGTCTACTTTGCCTTTGAGCTCTACTGTGTTTTTCTACTTTTCTTTCAAATAATCAATTAAAATAACTTGTAATACGAAAACATTCTTTAACAGAATGAAATTCTATGAGGGAACGGTTGGCAGAGATTGGAATATAATTTCAAGGGGAGAAGGAAAGCCCAGTCTCTGCTAGGAAGAATGCATTCATTTTAATGAATGTGACAAGAATTAAATAGTTCATTTATTTATACATCATTAAAAGCACTTAAAGACATGCTCTAACAGTTATAGTTTAAAATGTCAACACCAAAAATTTGTCAAAAATGACATGCTTTACAACTGAGTTGCCAATTGAAATGAGGAAAGTTCTTCCAGAATTATTTTATAGTGTCAACAAAATGTTTTTTAATAATATTCTTTTAGAGGGTTATAGTCTTCTTCCCTGTAAGGAATATGATGAAATAATAGTTGAATAAACAAATACTTATAGCTTATATTTTACATTTAATATTATACCTTATACATAATTGAAAGGATTAAATAAATATGTATATAAATTTTCTTATAATAAAATTTTAATATTATAACATTATCCTTTATAGTGTATTTGTGACCAGAAAAACTAAGCTTATCCAAATGTTATTTAAACTGGAATTAGGATAATACAACTCAACACTAGAGATATCAAGAGGAAATGTGTTATTGTTCCTTACTAGCACCAATAAATGAAGAAATAAGCCTGTGAGGTTGATGGATTGATAATAAAAAGCACTTTCTCTTTTCTCATTAAGGATGATAAATTAGGAAGTTAATAAAGATCCATTGCAACCAGGACTGTATAATTCACCATGTCTTTATTATATTTGTAATAAGACTATCAGCAAACACTTGCTTTGATTTCGGTAATGAAAAACTTAATATATTTGCAAAAACACGAGAAGCTGTTGACATTTACTTAGTCATAAATGGGAGAAACTTGTTTTTCCGAGGTGGATTAATTCACAGAATAACTGGAGCCAGACACAGTGGCAAATGTTTATAATTCCATCACTTTGAGAGGCTGAGCCAGGAAGATCCCAAACTGAAGCCTAGCCTAGGAAAGTTAGTGATTTAGTGAGACCCTGTCTCAAATTTTACAAAAAGAAAAAGGGCTGAGAATGAAGCTCAGTATGAAAGCCCTAGGTTCAATACCCAGCGTTGGGAGTGAGAGTTTAGAGC